CCGCGCGCCCCGCCGCCCAGGTAGGCTCCGCTCCGCTGGGCTCCGCTTTGCCGGGCGCCGCTTTGCCGGGCTCGGCGCCGCGGCGCCCGGCGGCGGCTCCCCCCGCGGCGCGCTTTGTTCGGCGCCGCGCTGCGGAGGGGTTTTCCAGGCTCCTCCCCCGCCGCCTCCCTGCCCCTCCATTCACGCTTCGCCCCTCCCGCGCTCCGCGTCCCGGGGGGCTCCGCAGCCGCCGGCCCCCGAGCCTTGAACCGCGGCGGCGGCTTCGCGCCGTCCCCGCTGCGCTTCCCGCGGGCCCGTCCCTCCTCCTCCTCCTCCTCCTCCTCCTCCTCCTCCTCCCCGCGCTCCGAGGGAGCAGCTGCGGCTGGGGCGAAAAAAGCCGCTTTTGGGGCCACCGCGGCGGCGCTTTGGGGTGCGGGGCCGGCCCGGGGCGCCCCGCTCCCGTTAGGGGCCGGGATGGGGCTGGCGGCCGCGGGAACGTGCCCGTCCCCGCGCCCAGCGGGAAGCTGAAGCCGTTCGGCGCTTCCCAGCGTTTCCCAGCATTTTTTTTTTTTTTTTTTTTTCTGTGTTGTTACGGATGGAGCAATGCGTGCGGACGGCCGGGCAGCACCGTGAGCGCGCCCTGTTTTCCGTTTCTTTCCCGTTTTCCCCTTGGCGTGATGATATCCTAGCGAAGAGCCATCAGTCGGGAAGAGTGTTCCCAGCTTCCCTTTGTGTCAGTCCCAGGCAGCTTCTTCTCCCGTTTGGGTCTTTTATGCAGCAACAGACAAAAGAAAACATTAAAAATTAATGATTATCTCCTTCAACAGTCTGTAGGCTGGCGGGGAGGGTGTAAGCAACAGCCCGGTTTAAGTGGGTTTGAATTCCACTTTTACAAAAACATCGCTGTTTGTCTTAAAAATCATCAGAACCCGGAGTTAACACTTACCTGGTAAAGCTCCTACATCCTATACCTTGTTTTGTCTTTTTTTTTTTTTTTTTTAATAGTTTTCTAATATGCCCATGTTAAGGACCACCTGTGGTTTCTATACATTAAAAACAATCCTCGTGGTGATGATGAGGAGGAAGCTGTTGATCCCTGGTAGCGCGGCCCTGAGTGGGGGGCAGCTTTTCCTGCTGTTCCGCTGCAGTGGGGGAGTCGCAGCAGTCCCTTAAAAGTTCTTAATGGCTTGTTATGTAGCTCGGAGGATTCTTGGTTAAAGCATTGGAGGGAGCTTGGTTCATGTTGGGGAAAAAAAGTGGAAGTTTTGGGCTGCAGACTTGGGCTTGTGCCCCATGAGTTGGAAATGAGCCCCTTAAGTGGCTCTGGAAGCCTCCTGTGGAGTTGGGCAGAGCTGGGCTTGGTGGCCGCGCGCCGGTGCGGGAGCTTTGCTGTTTTAAATATTTAGTACGTTTTATTTTTTAATAATATTTTGAATCTGCTGGTTTTTTTTTTTTTTTTTTTGCCCAGGACACACGTGGTTGGGAAATGTTTTCTGGCTAGAAAACAGCTGACAAATGTGGAAAAGTGTCTGAGCCTTGCCATGCCTCCTGAGTAACCCCAAAAGGAGTTTGAGCCTCGCTTAGTTTTCTTGTAATGCTGGAAGGTTTCACCCTGTACAGGATCGATACAGAGAAACCTCTCATTGCTTGTTTACAGTTCTTGTAGCCATTCAGGAGGAGAGGGGGCAGAGAATACTTACGATTTCCTTGTTAACGCATACATTTCCATACACCTCTTAACTTTTTTTCCTCTCTTTTCATTTAGCACACGGATTAGCTGACTCCTTTGACAAGTGTATGGAACTGCCAGCTCTCTGCTTGCTGCACTTTTCCTTCCTGGGAGGAGAAAGAGGCCTATGAAATTCGAGGAAAATGCCTCGGACGAAGCAGATACATCCCAGAAACCTGAGAGGTAGGTAGCTCTCAGCTGAGAAAGAAAAGCTCTTGGGAAACTCGGTTGCAGTTTCGGTGCCAAATGAATGGAATATGTGCTGGAGAAGTTTGTGTGGGTCCAAAAATATTTTGCACATGAGCTTTATGCGTAACCTGTGTGACTGCTGTGAGCTGGAGAGGAATAAGGGGGTTCTCCTTCCGATAGTCTATGTGCTTGACCATAGCTGGCAACAGCAGCCAGCATCCAACATCAAAAACGCAACGGAAGACATCGTTTCCTTACCAAATACTTACCAGCACTGAAGCATACAGGCAAGAGGCCAGTGTGTGTAATGCAGAAGCAGCGTGAGACTGGGCCCCGTGTGTCACAGCAGCGACCCGTTCGGCTCCCTTTGGAGGGGGCCGGAGCCTGCTCCCGTGCAGGCCTGCCCTGCTTACCCCCCGTGCCAGCCGAGCTCCCTCCGCAGCGCCGGGCTGCCACCCCGGGCCCCTCTCCAGGCTGCCCTCGCGCGGGGCAGCAGGAGCTGCTTGGCCCCAGAAAGGGGCCAGCACCAAGTGGCCTGGCCCAGGAGCGGGCGAGCGCGCGGGCATTTCCCTGCACAGACCCCCAGCGCGCTCGGCAGAGCTCGGGGCTGGCAGATGAGCGGGAGGAATCCGCTCTGACGCTTATTTGCTGCTCTCCTGGTAGTAGCAGCCCCGGAGGAATTAAATGAGGGGAAAAACACAGATTAGTTCAAGAGCAGAATTAGGTGCCGAGGGAGAACATGCCTCCCCCCTGCCAGTGCGTAGTTGCTATCAGTGCTTTTTCAATCTGGAGTTCGCATTTGCAGTGTGTGTGCATCCCTTGAAAAAAATTAAAAAGGGAATCTATTGAAAATCTGTAAATATGGGCATAAAGTTATGGGGGACAGGACAGCGCTTGATCCCCAACTCTTGGTGTGTGGTTTTTTTTTTTTTTTTTTTTTTTTTTAAAAGCAGTGTTTCAATTGAACTTAAGAGCCCTTTAACTTATAGTATGTGGAGCTGCATCAGCACCTTTGTGTGCATGGAGTGGGTGCCTGTATTGCCAGGAATCCCCGTCACTGAGGACGTTTTTGCTGCATGTGTGTTGAGGAAGCGCGGGGCGCCCTCGGTCAGTGGGACAGGGAAGCCCCAAAGCCCTGATTTCACCCATCGGGGAAGGGCCACAGCAGTGACGGGCACCTTGGAGCGCCTTACGTGTAGGAGCTGCTGTTTCCCCTGCTGTGGGACTTGAAGAGGTGAATTTTGATCCTGATTCGCAGTGTTACTGCTTAGCAAGTTACTGACTTGACTCAGGTTACGTTTTTTCGATCAGATATGGGAGTGATCTCGTTCTAGTGCCCTGTCTGGTAACTCCTACCAAGTTCAAAGCAATGTGAGGAAAGATAAATCTCTTGTAAAGCTCCTTGCAATTTTGTATTCACTTAAGTAAATGCATTTAAAATAAATAATCTAATTAAACACTTAATTGTGCAAGAAATAAATTGCATTTTTATGCTTTTTTTTCCCCTTGTGTAATTGTCCCCATCATTTAGCTATTATCACCCTCCTGAAATAGAAACTGATGGTAACTGCTATTCTTCTACAACTAATGGAGTTTGCCAGTAAATTAAGATGGATTAAATATTGAGAAGGTAAATAGAGGGATAAGCTGAAGCCAGAATTTGTAACTTTTTGTTTATAGTGAAAGATGATGTTAAAATGCATAGGTGCTGCAAACTTCAACACGTGAGCATGTATAGCTACTATCATGGCTTATTGGAGGTGAAGTGATTTAAAAAATCAGTTTACTTCTCATTAGTTATGCCCTATTTCCATTTTTAGCCTAGATAATGAGGAAAAAGGAATTTCAGTTTCTTTAGTCCTTTTATCAGTCCCTGAGATTATTGCATAAAATATTTGTTTAACCTCCCTTTTTTTTTTTTTTTCTGGGATTTGAAGAGGTTGAAGCTTCCTCAGGTCTTGTTTCTGACAGCTTATTTTCGTGTGAAGTTTGGCCGCTCCGAAGCTGACGGTCTGACATCGCTAGAGCTCTTAAGTGTGTTGTGTCTGTGATGTAATTTATGGCAATTAGTGAAGATAATGAGATTTGCCAAAGAGCAAGTGTCTGTGATCTGAGGCGAAACTCCGCGAATCGTGAAGTTACGTAACTTTCAGAAGGAAAAGGTTCAGGTAAACCTTATTTTTAGGGTGAGAGGTCCGTTTAAGTTGTCTGCACCGACCCTCCCTTGCGTACCAGGGGCAAAGAGCACTCGGTGGCCTTCCCTGCCTTCTCTCCCGCTCTGCTCAGCTCCTGTGCCCTCCGGCAGCCCCACGGCCCGCAGCTCGGTGCCAGGGTCAGCTGGACACGTCCAGGGCCCGTCAATGTTTAACCTCCCGGAGCGGTCGCCGTTGAGCAGCCCCTGACACGGCCCGCTGTGCCGCGCCGCAGAGGAGCTGCTTGGGCTGCCCTTGCTGGCCAAGTCAGCCTGGCGAGTAAATATTGGAGCCCCAGAATCTGAAATGTATACGTTTTCTATGGAGGAGAAAAAAAAATGTGGAAAATATTTATTTTAGTTAATCGTGCATTTCCTGGAGCATGGGAAGAAGTTTTAAAGGCTTTCATATTGTGTGCGTTAACAATCATCTACTTTTTTTTTTCCAATAGTCTGGGGAGCACAAAGGGCCATTCTTTAGTTTTCACAAGTAAATATAAGGTCTTTGGCAAAAGACTGTAAGACTCTTCTTTGTGACATGACTCTATTATGCTGATTTTGTGTACTTCTGAGAGCGCTTCCGCCTTTGTGCGGCCAGCGGCGGCCCTGAAATATTCTTCACTGAAGACCAAGTTTATTTGTTTTTTGAGCTGAGATCCCCTTCCCGCTTCTCTGTTTTCACTGTCTCTTTACGGATGAGGCAAGGTAGTGCTATGCTGGATTGCAGAAGGAAAAGAATTGTATCAAGAGGAGGGCTTGTAGGAAGATTTTTTTTTTTTGCAAATGAGAAAATAAAATCAGGTGACCATCTGCTTTCATGGCTCTAGTTTTAGTGCCTGACCGGGGCTGAAGGACGTGTTATATCTGAAGGATGTCGGACTTGGCCTCCTGACTAATGTAACATTTGTGGTGAGCTCCAGCAATGGGGCTGAGCGGCCAGAATTTGGGAGAAGTCACGTTGCTGCAGGTCACGCAAACCCGTGCCATGAGCGTGTGCAATGCCCCACACGTAGGCAGTAGCTCCAGAAGTGAAAGCCCACGGCAGGCTGTACGTGGGGCTGCCGGAGCAGCAGTGCATCAGCAGGGAGGCCTGGCGGCCTCTCAGCCTCTCGTGTTCCTGGCGGAGAGCATCGTCGTCCCTCTGCAAGCGTGCGCTGCCAAAGAGGAAAATACCCGTCTCCGTCTGGAGGTAGGCCGATAAAAACCCACCCAGGTCATTGGATTCTCCACTCTTTCCCAAGTATCCCAAGGTCTCCGCTTCCCAACTTGCTTCCTTTGTCACCTGAAGCTTGTGCTGCCCGACAGAAGGCTGCTTTCCATGCAGTTGTGCTGAGTGTTTACATGGCCGAGCGCTACGCAGCCGTAGCAGACGTTTCACAGAAGCAGTAATGTATTCCCAGAAGCACAGTTACATTAGAGAATCCTGCTTTTAGCGGGGCTGAGTGGGCTTGGGTTGTTGTCAGATGCTTGTGTGGATATAAAGTGAAGAAACAACTGTTTTTGTTTACTTGGACGTATCCAATTCCAGAGCTTAGACGTGAAAACTCATTTGTGCAGCGTTTAGCACGATACTCTGGTTCACGAGTATGAAACAGTAAAAAATTTTGATCTTAATCTGTCTATATTTAAGCCTCTTATTTTGTAAAAACACAAATTATTTCTGCTTCTGTTTTTCCTTTTCAATCGCATGCTTCCATTTGAAGCAAACGACGGATGGGCACGTAAAGTTCAACAGCCTTGTCAATCTTTTAACACTTGGTATTTGCTGAGGAAATGCGAGTCTAATGTGAGCAGCTTTGCTGGATGGCTTTGCTGTAACCTGAGAAGGGTGCGTTGGTTTGCTGGAAAGCTGGATACCTTCTGGGCCTTGTGATTTCCAGAAGAGTTGGGCATCTGCTGAGTCTTAACTGCAAGTCAGGAGAAACTCTTGGAGTTGGTTTAAACTGATAGCGTGCTTTCGCTGCTGACATAGGCCTCTCTGCATTAAAAGGTAGCAGGTTGATATTTCTTGTTGGTGTGTGGCATGTATGGTGTATAATCAGTCATTGTGCTGTACTTTAATTCAGGGTTTGCATCATGAAATGCCTAAAAAGCTTCTTGGGATTTCACAGAACTCATATTTGTGGCTTGTGCCTGCTTAGCTTAAAAGAGGAGTGCAAGGAGAACACCTGAATTTTGGGTCTTAGCGTTGTGTCTGCTTCTCTCTGAGGTATGTATGGGGTGCATGGTAGGGCATCCAGTGTGCTCGTGCTTTACATTCTGTGAGGTGCCTGTCCCCGTCTGGGAAAACTCTGTGGAGAGGGCTGGGATATGCGCCTTGCTCCAGCTTCCCGAGCGCGCGTGCGGCGGAGGAGCAGGGGCTCGCAGCTCCGGCTTGGTGGCTGTGTCTTAGAAATGGCCACTGCTTCCTCAGCAGTTCTTATTTCTGCAGCTCAGATGATTTTTATGTCGTGTTTTGTAGAAGCTGAACTTGACCAAAAGCTCTCGTGGTGAGGTCGGAGCAGACGCCTGGCTCTGCGTGTGCCGCCAGCCTGAGGAGCAGGAGCTCTGCCCGTGTTGTGCCCTGCACAATCTCTTGCACACCACACAAGTAGTCAGTCCAGGCCTCCTATTTCTTATCTGAGATTCCCATGTTTCTTTGTCCCATCTCTGTCTTCTGTCTTGGCCATTTAGACTTTAAGTACTTTTAGACTTTTTCTGGATAAGAGCTGTTTTTTAATATGTGAATGTCCAGCATTTTACTACTTGGAGATTATCTTGTCCACAACTTCTAAATGCTACTGCAATAAGGTATATATGTTAT